ATTATATGAAGGATATGTTTTCTAATTAGTCTCAAGAGGTCTATGAATGCCCAACGACTACCTTTCATGAAGGTAGTATGAGGGTTTATAAGGGATGGTTGGCATTGTGTGACCGCCATCACCGAGTAAACACTCAGTTTATAGTTGGATGTTTTATGAATTTGAACATTGACTGAAAGTTATGAGGCAGACCATTACTCTCCACTTAACCTAGAATTGAATTTATAAAAATGCGTGCTAAAGTAGTAAAAACATAAGTTAAAATTAAAGACTAATAAAAAGGCAAGCAATCAAACAAGCAAAACTTAGTCTGACCAAATAGAGTGATCCCTAGTGGAGTGGCCATCCTATCGCAGGAGCTTAAGTCGATATGATGTCGTCAGGCGACGGTGAAGGCTTTTGTTGTGCCTCTTGTGTGAGGTGTTATCTGTTGGGAAGATTTTTTTAGGATTTAATCAAGGAGCTTAAGTCGATATGATGTCGTCGGGCGACGGTGAAGGCTTTTGTTATGCCTCTTGTGTGAGGTGTTATATGTTGGGAAGATTTTTTTAGGATTTAATCATAACATTATAATTAATTTTCAGGAATTATCATCTAAGATTATAGTCACTAGAAACCTATGGTCTGCGAAAGTCCAAGTAAGGGACTGGTTGTGCAAGAGGAAGATGCATTACCCCCAATGCACCTTACCTAAGGTAAGCTGTATTGTTTTTTTATTGTTTTTCTAGGTCGGGTTTCTATTTGTTAGTCTTTTTTAATGTTCAAGGCAGATATCCCCTTATGAGGGAGTCTTTACCTGATCGAGTAAAATCCTAATCATTCTAAAGTCTGAATTTTAGCATTGCAGTTATTTGTACTTTATATCTTTAATACCTGATAGTGTACTTTATCATAGAATTTTACACCCATAAATATTAAAATTTACATCTGAACCCTAAATAAGATTGGAAAAAAGGTTTTTAATATTTGGTCAAACCCTAATGAATGATCATAAACTGGTTGTGATATCCATTTGTTGGATTTTTAAAAGCATGAGAAATGTGCAATTTTTATTTCTTTTTTTATGAAAAATGTTCTTGAAAATTTTTTAGGATATGGCCATATGCATGAAAACAAATTATTTTTTTTTGTTTTTGAAAAGGGAAATTAATTTAGAAGTTTTTGAGATTTTTTTGAAAATTTTTTTATTTTTTTTTAAAAATATTTTAGAGAACTAGTTATTTTAATACGAGATTTGTATTTTATAGCGTAAATATACAATTCAATATTGTACAAAATTGGTAGAAAAATATTTGAGAAAATCACAATTTTTTAAAAGGATTTTTGAAAAAAATTTGAATTTTTTAAAATATTTTATATATAATATTATATATACATATATATATATATATTAAATATTATTTAAACATATGGGTTAAACTGGCCTAGATAACTAGGCCAAGCATAGACTAAGAAACAGGTAGGCCAGCATCAGCCCAAAATGGTTGGGCCGAACTCAGCCCAACATACTCTTTTTAAAAATTTTAAGGACTGGTGGACCCTCTGAGCTAAGATAGGTCCAGCTCGAAGCCACTGGCATAACATATTGACTAAGTTATAGGAAATAAGGCAACGTGAATTATAATTCGCGTTGCACTGTTGATAACGGAAAGGGAGCTAATGGTAGCAAGGAAGGGAGTAAGAAAAAAAAGGAGAGAGGAAGGCTTACCTTGCATTGAGGGAGCTGACAGCTTAATTAGTGGTGCACAATGTGACTAGAGGTGGTGAGGCCGGTAATTGGCTGTGGTTGCAACTAGAAGAAGTGGAGGCCTGGAAAGGGAAACTCGCGGTTGGAATTGTTGAAGTGGCTGAGGAGAGAGTTGTTGCCCCAGCTGCCTTTGGGAAGGACAAAAGCAAGGTAGTTGCTACTACTATTGCTGGGGTTACATGGTAGAGAAAAAGACTTTTACAGAGGAGAGAGAGAAGTGCAACCACCACATGAGATGATTTGATGGCTACTTGAGGTGAGGACGATGGTGAGAAGATGGGTGATGAGGGTGGCGGTAGCTGAAGACATGATGAAGAGAGAAAGAAGAGAAAAGACTGGATATAGAAAAACTGAGCTGGAATGGTTGGTTTTCGGCCAACTTTGCATTCAATTTTCTTCCTTATTCTAAATATGAAATCTGCTCCTATTTATAGAGGTGGAAGAGTTTAATCTTGTCTTTATAGGGGACCAATTTTCAACTCTTGAATCGACTAGGAAGGATCCCAACCGTTGACTCAAAGTAGGCATGATACATTGTCAAATCTACAACTGCAGGTTGCCTGAGGTGACCTTTCTGGGTTGGTGCTACGTCCGTTTATTTGCCAATGAGCCGGTGATGACCATACCCAGACGTAGAGGGATGTCTGGTGATTAGTTTTCATGCAACGTTTGACAATTTTGATGGACGTCAGATATATTAAATGTACATGCAAAGCTGTTGATTGGATCAGTTTTTTCAGAAAAATGAAGAAGATAATGAATAATTACTGAATGACGCATTGTCGAGTCCTTTTTTTTTTAACTTAAAACGATGCCATTTTAGGTTTTAAATAGAGATTTCTTTGAAGTTAAAACAGTCCTTGAGCTTTCAATTTTATGCAATTGTACCCCTAATTGACCATAAACTTTTGATTTAATGCAATTGCATTTTTACTAAACTTCAATTGGAACTCTGGATTTGCGCACCTTTTGCACATTGGTCTTTATTCTTGGATTTATGCAGTTTAATCTTAAATTAACAATTAAACTTCTAATTTCTTTAATTTAACCCCCGGTTTTGTCAATTGCCCTCTATAGTTCGGTGCCTTCTGTAAAGTGGTTCTTGGCTGCTAATTTCTTCAATTTAACTCCTAATTGACCCAAAAACTTTAATTTTCTTGTAATTTGGCCCCTGATTTCAATCAATTAACTTGGTAAAAATTAAATTTGGTCTCTTAAAATTCCAATTCTCTTAATTAAGCCCAAATTAAGCCCCCAAACTTAATTTTTCACCAATTAAGCCCCAAATAAAATTAAGTTAACCAATTTAAAGTATAATTAAGTCCTTGCACTTAATTAAATCTTTCAGTTGAACCCAAATTAATTATTAAACATAATTAAAATTCAATTTGGCCCATGATTAAATCAAATTGGCTTATTAAAAATTTAATTATGTTCTGGGACTTAATTTTTATGCAAATTCATCCAATAATAATTTAATTTGACATTGAATTTGCAATTTTTCCTCCATTCTTCGGTATAATGGGGTACAATTAGGCCTTGAATTTCCTCTAAAAATTACAACTTGATGTTTTTTTCTATTTTTATAGTCCTCCTTGATTTGCTTTCTCCACATTATAGGCCTTCATTTTATTTTTTAATTTTATTTTAAAAAAATAGTGATTGTTTAAGGAATAACCCAAAATTGGGTTATGACAATGTCATTGTATTAATATTTTAAAAAATACATCATTTTGAATTTTTTTAAAAACAAAACCAAGTTTTTTTCCGGTCACCTAAATTACTTTTGGAACTACCAAGTTGATTGGGTCACGTTAAAACAACTTTTACACAATTTAATTTGAAACCTAAGTTAAACAAGAAGTCAAATCAAGAGATTTTAAAATTGATTCACCATCTACCAAGAAGTTATGTAGCCTGGTGTAAGCCATTTATCTAGTTAAAACATTATTCCTGAACATCCAAGATTTAGAGATCATTTTGTATTGTGATAATTTTTATTTTTTATCCAATCATGAAGAAAGAACTTTCAAATAGCTAAATAACTTCTGCTTTTAGCATTGAGCTCTACATATAATGGGTTTTTGTTTACGTGGTAACTTCTGCTTTTAAAGCTCATTGCGTAACCATCGAGTTTGGTAACATAAATTCAACTGCTTTTCATGTAGGACCCATATATATTTTTGATGAAACATCGTTTCGTGAGAAGCAGCTCTCAGCTGCTTCTCACGTCTGCAGCCAAGTGAATATAATTTACCTGGGCACTTTTGCGTGAACAGTGCCCAAGTGATATAACTACTTATATTTTAAAAAATTATTTTTTAAAATTATATTTTACTCGAAAAACTAGTGTTTAATATTATTTAATAACACTATATAAATTAGAAGATGATCGCTTGATGACATAGCATTTATAGAATTTGATCGCAAGCCCAATTATGTTCTTGCTGGGTCTGGCCTAGTTGGAAAAAAATCACTTTTTATTTTTATTTGTAATTGTGCTTTATTAAAAAAAATGAAAATCGTTTGAAGACATAACAAAAAATTCAGTTTTTGTTGTTGTGCGCTTAAGAAACCATGGAAAATATAGTACTTGTTGGATGTATTTCGTACATGATAAAATTGTACATAGTTTAATGGAATAATAAAAAATATTTGATATCAATATTATTTATTTTTTTCATGATATAATAACAGTAGTTAAATCTATAATATTTAAAATAAAAACAATCAATATATATATATATATATTATTTTATAACCTCAATTTAAAAATCATTCATTTAACCAAACACATTAAACTACTTTTTGTTCAACCTCAATTTCAATCTCAATTTCAACTAAATATATATTTTTTCAAACCAAACTCAACTAAAAGTATTTTTTATAAAACAATTTTTTTTAAACCACAACTACAACAATTACCACAATACCAAACATATTTATAATTTTGTTTATATTAATCTTGTAGAAACTAAAACAATGTTTTTTCATTACTAAAGATTTATTTTTTATTTAATTTGCATGCAAAAATTCATCTCATAATAATTGTAATAAAATATATTTTTGAATCTATTTTTTAAACCAAGATAATGTATTTAGTATTATAATTCAAATTGCTTTTTAAAAATATTTCTTATTAAAAATCAAAATAATACATTTTTTTAATTTTTGATGTTAATACATCAATTGTTTTTTTTTCCTTGCTGAAGAAAAGCAGTTTAAAAGAAACTGTTTAAACGCACCGTCTTTCCAACACGGTTGAAATCAGACGCGAAGACTGAAAGAGAAGCACCTTCTATTCTATCATCGTTTCACGGTATCAGTTAGGGTTTACCCTGTCTCTGTAGTCTGTACGCTCTTTCTCCCCAAAGCTATGTCATGATCTAATTGAATTCTCCAAACCCTATCAAAAATCACCTCTGTTCAAAACCTAAATAAATGTCAACAACTCTCCCTCCCATGGAGTGTTTGCATGTAACTGAAGAATTTCTCCGCGAATTAAAGAGCGGAAACCGTAGCTTCCGTCTCCCTCACCCTGTACCTATTCTTCGATTTCTCTACGAGCTATCCTGGACCTTGGTACTACTATTACCAACTTGCTTTCCAATTTCACTCGTAATCATCATCATCATCATTATTATTTATCCTTGAAGAATAATTTTATTTGTCTTGATTGATTCTCTTAGGTTCGAGGAGAATTGCAGTTTCAGAAGTGCAAAGCTGCTTTGGATTCTGTAGAGTTTGTTGATAAAATGTCTGCTGTAGGGTTGGGTTCGAATTTCGCTGATATCATTGCTCAAGTGGCTCAAGATGTTAGTTTTCTTGGTTCCTCTGCTTTAATTATTGAATATATCAGAGTTATTATGAATTTGAATTTTTTGTTAGTAAGAGTAAAATAAAAAATGACTGCTTGAATTAACCAATGTCCAGATTTCTTTTTTTTCTTTCTAATTTTTTATATCAGATGTTAGATAATGCATTTTTATGTGGATGATGGAAAAAAGAAACAGGAGATAAAATTTGTAAGGGAAGAAGAATTTATAATTCAATAAGTGCAAGATTGCTGGCATTGTATTATTGTGTTTGCAAAATAATGACGGTTATTATTATTATTTGATATGCTATATTATATTGCTTAATTATCACTGTGGCTTTAGGAATCTAATTTTTTGATGTGTTATTATCTGTGGTAATCAACTATTTTTATTGTAAACTCATGCGGTTGACTGATTTTGCAGCTTACAATGTCTGGAGAGTACCGATCTCGTCTTGTAAAGCTGGTTAGTGTTGATAACTTTTAAGTAAAGGCTTTGTTTGTGTGTTTGATGGTCATGTTTCTGTTTGTTTTTGTTGAGTTAAAATAACTGCTCTATGCTGCAGCTGTTATTTATTTTCATGTTTCCATTTTTTGTGTGTTATCCTTGTGAATTTCATTGCGATTAATGCTGGATGTGCTCTTAAATTTTGTGTTCACTTTATCAGCTCAAAATCAATATTTCTTGTTTGGAAACCCTCAAAATTTAGTTTTAGTACATATGTGAACTTATACTACTAAATGTTTCCTATGGGTATGCTAGTGATGCTTGCTTATCTTCCTCTCTTACTCCAAAGCATTATCTGCTATGTTCTATTAGTATGGCTTGCTATGATGTGTATTTGACTACATGTTCTTGCCTGTGCTTCATATTTTGTTTTAGATGGATTATATATGAGAATATTTATTGAGACATGAGAATCTTTATTGAGACATAAGTGCTGCTCAGCTTGTCCTTTTTCATTAAGTAGAATTTTGCCTTGGGGCTTGGAGGGTGGTGCCTTTTCCATTTAGTTTAACTTGTGAGTCTAATACTTTGTTTGTCTAGTCTCTTCTGATTGTTAAGTGTCCATGTGGCATTTATTCATGAACATATACTTGCACTATGCCGTAGTTCTGAATTATTTATTTATGTGTTGGATGCCTTATGTCTTCTTCATTGGTCTATATTTGGCTCTTCATGCTGTTTCTCAATTTGTGTGTTGCTTTGCAGTCACTCTTCAATATAAAGTCCTTTCCTTCTTTTTCAGGCAAAATGGCTAGTTGAATCTGCGTTGGTCCCATTGAGGTTTTTCCAAGAGCGTTGTGAGGTGGATTTTCTGTTCGTTTAAAATGTTTTTTCTGTTCATTATCTCATAAGCTTATTTGGTCTCTCAATTTTAGACCTTGTAACAAAGAGGTTCAAAATAAATGTTTTCTGTTTGCAGGAGGAATTTTTATGGGAAGCTGAAATGATAAAGATAAAGGCTCAAGACTTGAAGGGCAAAGAGGTAAAATAGATTAAAATGTTAACAAGCACAAACTATAGTTTTGAATTTGGAGCTATTACTATAATTAAATTTGGGTATATCTATCCCTGTATTTTCATAATTTTAATTCTCCTATACATCCTCTGGATTTTGTTGTAGTATTGCATCTATGATAGAACAAGAAATTATGTCAATGCTTAGATGATTAATTGATCTTGCACTTGATTAAATGAAATTTGAGGAAAACAATGTGATTCTGCTTGTTCAACTGATATAACTAGATCAACCAACAACTTTATTTTTTCTTTGACGGTGATATTCACTTGCTGCAATTTAAATTACATTTTCATTAGATACTTCATCCTGTTTGCAATTGATATTTTTTCTATTGCTTTTAGGTCAGGGTAAATACTCGCCTTCTTTATCAGCAAACAAAATTTAACCTTCTCCGTGAAGAGAGTGAGGGCTATGCCAAACTGGTATGCTAAATAGTTGATTCTTTCTTTGCTCTTTGTAAAATTTTTAAGTTAATATGTTGATCACCCTTTTACATGTGTGACAGTGGACGAAACATTTTGTTGTAATTAGTTATATCAGTACATGATATTTTTCATTTCATTCTTCTCTCATCATATAAAATATCAAAGGCTTTCAAGAAGAGGATTGCTTCCTTAAATTTCTGTTAGTGTTCTTATGGTGGGAAGTATATTATTGCTTCTTCCCAATAGGTTTTCTTTGCAGTAACATGTGGCTCTTAGGTACTTGTTTAATTGTATTTTTACCACCAGTACATTAATTCATCAACAAAACTTGCTCTATGTTTCTTACAACCAAGTAATTTCCCTGCATGAAAACAAATCATTTTTTTCACTAGTGGTAGACTGTACCATAAAGAATTTCATTTTTGCTTACATTAGTTGATGATGATGGCTTATTTATGTTTTGTTAATTTGGACCGTCTAGATTGTGCATTAGAGTTTATTTATGTTTTGTTAGGGGGCTCTCCTGTGCCCTTTTTATGTACTTGCTATTTTTGTTTGTTTTTGGGGGAAATTATTTTTTTGGCCCCTCTCTTATCTAATAAATGGTTGGAGCATTTTCTTGAACTATATGAATATATTGTTTTACTTGGAGTTTAGCTTTTTATTTGGGATATACTGCTAACCAAAACTTGCATATTTATTATTACACGAATCATTATGTTTAAACTGTATCAAGTTGGGGCATCAACCCCCCACCACATTTTTCTTTATCTGATAGAGGAAATGGAAATTATTACAATGTATTCTTTCTTTTTTGTTCAGCTTTGCATGATTTGATGCCTAGTTATAATGCTTTCCGTAGTAATGAAAGAATTGGATTTTTATATCAAGTGGGAGAGTGGAAGGTGCAAACTAGCTGAAAATTGAGGTGTTGTGGGTCAGGGCCAAAATAAAAGATTAGCTTTTTTTTGACCAACTAATGATGGATATAAGCCAGAATGGCTTATCTTTTGATTTGTTGAAGTTTGTTTTTCTGTCTTCCATTATAAAGCACATGATATGTTAGTTATGTTCCCTTAGCTTTTGGTGAGCAGTTCTTACTTGAAGTCTCTCTGACTCCATTTATTTAGGTATGGTATGGTAGATAACTTTGTTGGTTTGATGTTAACTATGTAATAGCAAAGATAGAAGAAGCAGAATTTCCTACAGGAAAGGGAAACATTGATCAAGAAGAAAGAAAACCATGTAGAAGAGGGCTGGAGTGTTTCAAAGAAAACCTTGTACGAGATGCTTCTAATAGACTGAGGAAATGATTTTCAATTCTGAATCAACAATATGTGCTGCCCTTTTCTTTTTGTACAAAGGATATGGTGTTATAAAAGACACCAAGAAACCCTAGTCACCTAAACTATAAGAATAAAAATTCTAATAAAATATTATCTTTTATTAATAATAATGACAACTAAATTACAAAAAAATGAGTAAAGTGTCTTGTTCCTTTACTGTATCATTGGTCTAGCAGATGCAATAGGTTTTCATTATGATATTTAGTGTTTAAGTGGATCTCCAGATTACTCTTCTCTGTCGAGGTTCTGAAGATACAGCTGAAAATACATCAGCAGCGACAATAGGCATCATTAAGGTTTTGACTTGAGCTTACATTTTATTACGTATTATTCAGCTTTGACCCCTTATTTTTGTTAAATTTTCTCATTAATGCAACTTCTGCAGTCATTGATCGGTCATTTTGATCTGGACCCAAATCGTGTTTTCGACATTGTAAGCTGTTCCTGTTGGTTACTTCCATGCTGTTCATTTTGTTGTATTGATGCAGAATGTGATAATCAGAGGTTAATTGTTGGCTTGCAAGTATTTGTTGATCTTCAGGTTTTAGAGTGTTTTGAACTTCAGCCTGATAGCAATGTCTTTTTGGAACTGATTCCCATATTTCCTAAGGTATAAAATATTGTTATTATGGTTGACATAGATGTTTGGACTTTAAATTATGCTCATGTAACATGTGTTTGGGTTGCTAATACTACTGATTTTGTTTTCTTCAGTCGCATGCATCACAAATTCTTGGTTTTAAGTTTCAGTATTATCAGCGAATGGAATTAAATAGCCCTGTACCATTTGGGCTCTTTAAGCTTACAGCCTTACTAGTGAAGGAAGAGTTCATTGATCTTGATAGTATGTAAGTGGCTTGCCCAAGCTTTGTTCTATAGCACAGTGATTTCTTATGGTTCTGTGATCATTGATCTCCTTAATACTAAGTAGTTTGGAAGTTTCAAGAGCTACTAGTTAGAAGTTCTTTAACTGATTGTGTAAATTCCATCAATATACTTTGCTAGTTGCCAAGACGAGAATTGATAATTTGAAAATAATGCATCTGTTTACTGTAACAATTCATCAAGTGTTAGGATTATAATTAATTTGCATATAGTAATGAAGAATGAGATTTTTTGTTGATGCTATTTTAATCACTCTTAATTTTATTTTAAATGTTTCCTTGGTTACCAGCCGACTTCAATTCACCTTCAGTATGAAGTTCATCATGTGCAATCATGTTTGTTGTGGGATAGGATAGTGTTCCTTTTAGTGTAATGCCTCAAGGTCTTTTAGTGGTGTTCCTTTAGTGGATAAACAGCAGGAAATGGGTGCTCTTTTATTTTGAGGGATATTTTATTTTCAATTACTCATTCCGACCTAATCATGCATCCTTCAAAACACTATAAGATACAGGACAAGGGTCTTTATAATCTTACAATACACCAACAAGGCATTTTCATCCTAATTGTTTAGCCAACCTTTCATCAGATATTGCTTGTAGATTTGAACTTAAGTGGGAAAGGGAAAAACAGTAGAAAACAGAAATTACTGCAGGATAATGGCTAAAATTAAGATAAAATTGAAGTTGTAACAAGATAATTGAGCTTAGGGTTTGTAATAAAATATTTTGATAAAAAAAATAAAAATTATAAAATAACCCTAGCAGCCTATTTATATTAGTTACCACCCTAGATCCTTGTAGGAAAAGGATTGCTAGTCTTAGTCTCCAACTAAAACCACAGCCTCTAAGAAAATTCTTTAAAAGTTGCATGCTAATTAAATGATCCTAGATTAATTAACCCTAATATCAGAAATATAATAAAATAGATTCTAAAGAAAGCTGCTGTGTCAAGTTTACTCAAGAATTTCTACTCCTAATAAAGGATTCTGTAATTTGAATCAGCATATGTTCTCTCGGGATTCCTTCATTCTTTAGATTTTCCAGGCTGTTCCTAGGAGGGAATAGTGACAGTTGAGTGAGGTTGCATAAGGTCTGAATTGTACCTGGCAAAACAATATCCAAATGTCAAATAGTAACTATTTTAGCTTATCCTAATTGATAAACCAACCTGTGCAGGATCACATTCCTTTACCTGTGTTAAAACATTTACTTAATTGTTCATTCCTAATCTGCCAGAAAAAAGAAGAAGAAAACCTTACTGGGATTGATCAAGCAGCTGATTTCAGCTACTAACTTTGGCAATGCACTTCAGATTTTTGCTGTGAGAAAATATTGTCGTGTTACATGCATGCTACCTGTTTCTTCTTTATATAATAGTCCGAAGTTTATGCTGTGCTATGCCTTATTTCATGTCTTTGTTTTGCATTTTAGCAGTGTTTTTCATTTTGTTTGATATTTTGTAATTTGCTTATTTTTCATTTTGCGTTGTTGTACCTACTGGTTATATGATTTTTCTTTTTATCATATGTACTAATTTAATTTGCACGTCATTGCAGATGTGCACATTTACTCCCTAAGGATGATGAGGCTTTTGAGCATTATAACACGTTTTCTTCCAAACGATTGGATGCGGTATATTGCTAATTTTAGCATTGCTGCTTATAATAGTATTCTTCTATATCTTTCTACATTCATTTTCCATTTTACCTTTTGTAATATCTTTTCCCATCATTTTCAATGTAATGGTGTTTGTCAGTGGTTTGTAGTGGAGACTTTAGATGTTGCTTTTTCTGGTTGTTTGAAGTGTTTATGTGCTTTGTTGTATTCATAGAATGCTTAATCTTAATCTTTTTATCATGCATGATTTTTTTTTCTATGCAAATTTTGCAGGCCTACAAAATTGGAAAAATAAATCTGGCTGCTACTGGAAAGGACCTCATGGATGATGAGAAGCAAGGAGATGTGACAGTAGATCTTTTTGTTGCCTTAGACATGGAAACTGAGGCAGAAGCTGAACGATTCTCTGATGTTGAAAAAAATCAAACTTTGGGCTTGCTGACTGGTTTCCTTTCTGTGGATGACTGGTAGGTTTAATCTTGGGATTCTGCTTGTTAGGAAAATATTTTCTGACTCAACCTCATGAAGGAGAACAAAATATTTTCCATGGGACTACCAATTCTGAATATGTCTAACACATCACCTAACCTATTCCACCACCACAACCACCACCTCACAACAACAACTACAGGCCTGCCCCTGCCAGCACTGCCGCCACCTTTTTACGAACATAACAACTGCTGCAACCCACTTCTTTAGCACCTATGCCCACACCAGCACCACCACCACTGTGTTGCTATTGTACCTCACAACTACCAAAGAAAAATAATTTATTTTTTAAGAATTTTTTTTCTTGATTTAGTCAAACAATGTAAAATAGCTCTTTTTCCAAGATCCAGGAAGATGTTTTCAGCAAAACAAACACCTTAAATATCCTAAATTGCTCAGTTAATCCCCCACTCGTGAAAAGTTCTTGCTTTGAATTGCTTGCATTGAACCGAATTGGATATCTAACAAGGAATTCTAGAAATTATAGTTCATTGAGAAAAAACAAGGTGCATGAACCCCAAAGATCTTCAGTGATGTTGTAAGATTACATTTGAACTTCAAATTTGATGATGCACTAAGATCTCAGGACTGTCACCTATCCCTACAAAGCAATTGTCATGAAAGCTTTTTAACAAAGAGATAAGTAAAGCTTGAAAGGTCCAAGTCACTAGCTCTGGTCCACCTGGTTTCTTTTCTTCCTACATGCCCATCAGTGTCCTCCATCATTCCCTTGCTGTCTTTTATCGGGCTACCATTTTCCTCTTTATCAGTTGGCAACCACTTTAAGTCATCCACAAAAAGGACACCACATTGCTGAGTAACTTTTTCATGTTCATTTACCTTTGTTTTTCTCTTTGAGTGATTTCCAGAGTTGCTCCTGTTACTCTCTTTTAATTGAATCAATGTCATATGATGATGAGATGAGTCTCTGAATGTCTATCATATTTTTGTATATATTCTGTTCTGTTAATATTTTATGGAATTATCTGTCGGCTTGTGGAGGAATGGTTATTCTCTACTTACGATATTTCTTTGCCTCCATTTTACTAATTTAGTCTTTGTAGTGTGTTTGCCTAGAATATTTTTCCACTGCCTTTTCTCTTGAGCGCTTGTTCTCATTTTAGACTGTACTAAACTGTTGATTTAATATGTTCTGCAGGATTGTAATGTTGACTATTTTTTTTTGTTTTGTTCTCTCCTTTCTGCACCATGATTCTTATTGATTGAATAATTTTTGGACCCAATTTTTAAATATTTGTGAGGTTCAAATAGATATTCTTGAATATACTATGTTAGACATTTTTGCTACAGTTTACTTTAACTTACTTTGTTATTTAAAACTTAATTGTAAATGCCAATTAATGTGCTTTGGTTTTGTTTGCTTAAGTATTGAAAATAATTGTTTTTCATCCTTGTTTTGATCCCTTCTTTTTATTCATTGTTTAACGATCTAGGATTTTTCATATATATAATTAAATTTAGAAGTGGATGAAAAGAAGGAAGAAAACATGAATAATATATTTTCATCCATTGTTTATATGTTTTTATTTGTTACAAAGGGAAGGCTTGAACTCTGAGACCTCGTGGTGGATGAGGGACACTAGTGGCAGTTGAGCTACTAGCTCATTGGCCCATTTCTTAAATGCTGTATCTACTGGGAGTTATGTTAGTCACTCATTTTTATTTTGGACTCTAGGGGTATGGGATGAAATTATATCGTTTGGTGTTTGTTATGCTTTTTGTCCAAAAAATATTAAAAAAGGAGCTGTATGAGTGGTTTTGGGAGTCTTTTTTTTGTTTTTTTTGTAAACTGTATCAATCTAGTTTCACTATTAGTAGAATGTCACTATTTCTTCTCCCATTGCAATAACTTGCTTCAAACCCCATTAAAAAAGAAGGCTTGAATAAAAAAATTTGCCTGCTCAAACATATGGATTCTAGGTTTTTTTTTTTGGGTACTTGCCACCGAAATGTGCTGGGAGACCCATAGTCCCTAGCTATCATGCTCATGTGGCTTCTTCTTTGTCAGGTATCATGCCCATATACTTTTCGAACGTCTCTCTCCTCTAAATCCTGTTGCACATACTCAAATATGTGGTGGCTTGTTTAGGTAAAGTCATTGTTTTGAATTTATTTTTATTGACCATGTTTATACCTAAAGTCCATGTGAATGTGCACTAAGATCAGTATGTTAATTTTTGGAATCCAATCTAAGAATTCTCTTTCTGTGTTCTCATTATTTCTGCACCCATTGCCATAAAAAAATTATGAACTTTCATTGTTTGTTTTTGATGTGATATATATTCAGGCTCATTGAAAAGACAATCTCATTAGCATATAATATTATTCGTCAACCACATGTTCAAAATTGTGGGTCTTCAGCAGTTGCTGGTATTGATGCCATGGATGCGACAAGTTCTTCTGGCCATGTCTCTTTAATTGATCTTCCTAAAGAATTCTTTCAGATGCTTGTAACAGTTGGACCTTATCTTTACCGTGATACGTTATTGCTGCAGAAGGTGCGTGGTTTAATTTTTAATATTGGGTGAATTGTTTTCTTCTACATTTTATAGTTTTATTTTATTTTAATTTTCGTGCTTGTTTCGTATGGATAGGTTTGTAGAGTGTTAAGAGGTTACTATATGTCTGCACTTGAGCTTGCAGATAGTGGTGATGGAGCTCTAAATGGTGAATCTCTTATTCCTAGAAATCGAGTTCTTCGTTTGCACATAAGGGAAGGTAGGTCAAAGGTTGAGGAAGCCCTGGGAGCATGTTTACTTCCTTCTTTACAGTTGGTACCTGCAAATCCAGCAGCTGGGCAGGAGATCTGGGAAGTAATGTGTCTCCTTCCATATGAGGTTGGCCTGACATTATTACTGTCTTTTGCCCTTTTTTTATATTTTTTAGGTCTGAAAGATAATATGGCTAAATTACTCTCTGTTTTTCCCAGGTGCGATATCGTTTATACGGTGAATGGGAAAAAGATGATGAGCGGAATCCAATGGTTTTGGCTGCAAGGCAAACAGCCAAGGTACCATTTGTATATCTTTATTTACTGTTGCAAGCTTGGTGCTTTAAGTGAATCATACCCTATTCATTTATATTTACTGGTGTTTGTTTTATACTATGTTATCATGCAGTTGGATACTAGAAGGATATTGAAAAGGCTTGCAAAGGAAAATTTGAAGCAGCTGGGTAGGATGGTTGCAAAATTAGCTCATTCTAACCCGATGACTGTCCTTCGAACTATTGTTCATCAGGTGCTGTTTTTATAGGAGATGATGCATTTTTTGTCACTGATCTGTATTTTGTAAATCAAATCTAAAGGAAAGTTATTTGCTGGAACTTTGGCATGCAGATTGAGGCATACAGGGATATGATCACTCCTGTTGTGGATGCTTTCAAGTATTTGACACAGGTTTGAATTTTTTCTTGATTTCTAATGATCTTCTTCTCCTTGAGCATTTGAAATCTAATGTCATTCTTAGCCATAAAAGCTTCTTGTGTTATACTTAAGGGTCTGTCTTCTTTTACACTTCCATAAACACTGTAATTTGACAGTTACATACAATTTCTTCTGCACAATATCAAATTTATGCTGTAATGATATGATCTGTTTTAGTTATTGACATAACCAATCTAGTGTTCAAAACCTGTCATTGATTAAGTAAATCTGAACAATAAATCATTGGAATCATCTGTCACTAGTTTAGCCTGCCTTCCTAGATGCAGTTTGTGGGGGATGAATGTAACTGTACTCGTAGCCTTTTGAAGTTGAGAAAATCTTTTGGTTGTCAGTTATCAGCTTGCATTCATCTCTTTATCATTGTTATTTTTCTAGATCAAATGCTTGCACTCTTCTCCTGGAGCCCTCTTTAGCTGAATAAGATATATGCTTAAGTGGACCGGACCTGTTTGTTTTTGTGTTTCAAAAGTGTTTTTGAAAAAAAATGAATTTTTTATATTTTTTTTCTTTACTTCAAATTAATATTTTTTTTAGTGTTTTCATATTATTTTGAAATGTTGAGTTAAAAATGATTTTTAAAAAATAAAAAAATATTATTTTGATGCATTTCGGAGCGAAAACCCCCTGAAAAAGCACCCGCTACCACACTTCCAAACACCCCCAATAGGGATAACTCTCAATCTGATTGTGATTATTTTAGGAAGTGTAAATGCCACTTTTATGTCATCAATCATTAGTGAATGAAAAATAAGAATATTACATGCATTTCTATGGTTATCCTTATTGGTAATATCTACAGATTTAAGAGGCTGGGAAGGTAGAATGCCTGATTAAATAGCATTTATTCTGGTGAAACTCAATGCTCTATTGAGTGCTTTGAAGTTTCGGACTCTAATAAAAGGGTTAGTGATATGATCTGCAAGCTAGAAATGGAGGAGCTTACAGCCATGCATATTGGTTATTTCTACTGAATTTTTTAGAAAGATGGTTTTTGGTGAAATGGGGAGATAATAGAAGCAAACCTTCTATACTTTTTTTTTGTCCTTTGGGTATATTATAAGCTTCTAATTTCGTAGACCCTAGTCTAAGTTTCTTGCTTATTCATGCAGCGAACTTCATTTGTTGTTTTCTACTCTATCATTTGATGTGCCAATGGGAGTATCATTTGGTGCGTACCTGAAACTTTGGAAGATAATTTGATTAAAAGCTTGGATTGCTCTTTCAAGTACTTAGGGTGCATCATGGAAATGGTTATTACCAATTTTTTATTGCAAGTGTAAAATGCATAAATGTGTTGAAGTTTTAACATCTTTTGTTTGACCATTATTTGCTTGGACAATAGTTAACAAATGGGAATGCAGGATTGTGATGGATCATAAAATCTTCAAGGATGCCCAAGCTGATAGTAAATAGAAACAACACTGACAAAGCATTAAGTTAAATAGCTGCTAATTACTGTTCTGCAGGGGAAACCATTCTGTCCAAACAAGAAAGGTCTTTGTGGAACTGTACCACTACAATGTTTAATTTCCTGGTTTTAGTTGTTTTGGCCCGTTATCAATGTAATTATCATTTCATCTTCCAAAAAATAATGCATTCTCCCTTTGTAATTAATATTGATGTTTCTAGGTTTCCTTTCCCCAATTTCCAACTGCAAATTATGTCTATTTTTTTTTTTAAACTGCCCATGTTAAAGACCTTTGTTTCCTTTTTTCATGTAATTCAGGATGGGAATTTCATTGTTTCATCTAAAAGCTATATCAGTGTATTTTCCAAGGCAATTTGAAATTGAAGTTTTTTGCTCTCTTTCAGTAGATAGGAAATAAACGTAGCTGATTGAATTTGTGCTCTTAAAACTGATCGGTAGCTTCCTCTATTTCAATGCTAAATTGGAAGTTTAAGGTTGGTCATTCTGTAATTGACTAAAATGGCATGATTGACGATGCCAACAAAATAATTAAAAAAAGAAAAAGAAATAGGTATTGCTGAAAGAAAAGGAGTTACATGGTTTATTCAAAGAAAAAGAGGTTTTTGAAGTTTGTTGTTTTTGTTTTAAAAACAATGGTAATGATATTCTGTTTCAAGGGGAAAATGAAGTATTGCTTCCTGCAGATGAGACAGAGACATAGAGCTGACCTTTAGATGGGAGAGAAAGAGAGTGCAGATATTTTTTTCCCCTTCAATCACATAGAAAATTGTGGACTTAAAGTGCTTGATGAAAATTACATAATTAGCCTTAATTAAATTCCTTGTAAAATATGATTCTGAGGGTATTTTTATGTCTAGCAAATGTGGGCATCCTGTTGACCTACCCAAACTAAAATCAACTATGGATGTATCTGGATTTGGTATCTAAGGGGCTGCCACCCAACTTGTACATCTACAACTGACACAGAAAAAGATTATTCCTGGAAATTAATCTGAACAGCAATCATACCAACAAATATTCCAGTCCTAATCCTGTTGAGCCTTCCAACATGAAATGTGAAATTTATGGACAATTTTTGTATACTATTATGTAGTAATGCTTGTTGACGCTCATTTCAATGCATCTCCTTTTCTCTTCAGCTTGAGTATGATATCTTGGAATATGTTGTAATTGAGCGGTTAGCACAAGTTGGTCGTGATAAGCTGAAGGATGATGGCCTTAATTTGTCAGACTGGCTTCAATCACTGGCTTCATTCTGGGGTCACCTGTACGTATATCCTCTACCAAAACACTAGTTGTCTTTATTGTATTTTTGTACCTGTAGAATGTATATGGCCCACCCATCTGTATCAAAACCAGTGTAGAATGTTAACAAATATGACTGCTTAGCAGATGAGGATTCAATGTTCATGGTTTTTAATCTATTATCAAGGCTGCTTGTTGTGATTTGATGTGAACAATTACAAGTATGAGTTTGGTGTCTTCCCTTTTTGATTTTTGATTTTTATATTTGCTTGTCCGCCAACTTTAATATATTTTGCATGAGTTGAATTGGAGTCACTCTGTTAAACCTTTCTACTGAGAATTTTAGGTGTATCTTGGGATGCTTTACATCATCTTCTGGGTTGAAGATTTGACTCAGCAAAATCTCTTAGACTGTTGTGGATATTGGTGGTTTTCTAAGTCTTTAATTTATGAGTCTAGCTCACTTCCAACATGCTTTGCAGTGAATAGGCATTAATTGGAAAACTCTATGGGATTTAGAGATGGAAACAATGTAACGTTGTCTGAATTGGAAATGGTATTTGAATGAGAGAGTTAGTTAGAAGATAAAAGAACTTTAGAAAAAAAAAAGGAAAATTGAAGAGAGGTAGCTCGGATTACATTATTCAAACATGAAAATAATGTTATTACCTTGAACTCCTTTCAAGTCGACATACTTGAGTTTGGAGGTCAAAAAGGTCCTTCTTACTGTGATCATTGAGATTCATGAGTGTGACTTTGTTGGATGGTGGTTTTTCTTTGAATCAACAGTGGAAATTTACCATGAAACCAGGCTTGTGCTAAGGGGGGGTTGGTTGCTTGGTTTATCGGGATTGCATTGTTCAAACTTCTCTTGGGTTCTATTTCTTCTTTGCCTCTTCAAGATAAATATTCAGATAAGATTAATAAACAAAACCTATTCAAAGAAGGGCCATTTCTGACTCAGGTGGATTTTTCAATGAAACTTGCCACTGGACTTTCTCATGCAACTTGGAATATTGGTTTTAATAATTAAGACATTATTGGAAAATGGTATTGAGCATGTGTTGAACCCTGAAGCAAGAAAAATGCATGGGGGATGTAAAATTCAATGTTGAAAGGTTCTTGATGTTGAAACTCTCTAAGTTGCAGATGTGATTGATCGTGGAATGTATAAAGATTTTCCTGCATGGTTACTCTATTTGGCAGGTTTTCCTCAGCCAACATTTAGATGACTGAGAATTGGTGTTTAATTTACCATCCTCCTTAAGAGCTTAGATTTAGGTATGGTCTAAGATTTAAAGGCAGTTTTTTTCTGGATATATCAGATTCTTTTCAGACTTGTCTTTTTCTTTGATGCTTCTTTCAATGAGTGTTTCCAATAATTTTTTATATGAATGTGGAAGAAGTATACACTTGGTTAGAACTGATGTTCACTACATCATTCTACCAATGTGAGTCCTCCAGAAGTGTATTGTTTTGCTGTGAGATATGTGTTCTGAATATGGGGAGAGAGCACTCCATTTTGATTTTGGCTGCATTAGCTTGTATAGGTGATGATATTTGTGTTCTTCAGGGTACCACAGTTTCTTTATGATTTTCGATAGCATGCATAGCTGATCTGAACCCCATATGTAGTCCAGAACCTTTTAAAGGAAAATCAAATTCCGTGGAGGCAGCACTTGGAAATTTGTCAGGGCTCTCAAGGTTGCCTGACTATTCAGTAATAAATTGAATGGGGTTCACGGGAGTACACAAAAATTCTCTTTTCTTTTTGTTGATTATAGTGCATGTGCATAGATTGCTGGGGATCTTCAACATGCAAAATACTTTTAAATTCTTGAGGAAGAATGTCTCATATGAACATGCCATGTTCAGAAATATTTGTTCTGGAAATTTTTGAGGTTGCACAATTGTCTTGATTCCCTTTTCTTTTGTGAAGTTCTGGGAATTATGATATGTAGTTTAGTGTTTCTTCTTCTTCTTCTTTCTTTCTTTCTCCTTTTAATTTCTTTTGTGTTGTCTTTGCACAATGATTCTACTAGGTTGGTGGGGAATACTCTCTGGGGTTTGCTGACATGGCTAATAGAACTTTTCAGTTGCAACTTGGAGATTGATGCCTATTCTAATTCTGTGTTTTGCGTATTCACTGGATAATTATCAAGGACCTTTTCATAAAGTTGGAGTTTCACATACCTTATATGCCCCATGTTATTGTTTAATATTGGATTGAACCGATTTCAGAGAGGGGGATGGGAGTGGGAAGGCAATGCTGCTTTGGCTGTTTTATGGTAGGCTTGTAGTCTAGGTTTCAACTCTGGTGAATGGAAAATTTTCTTATTTCCTGAGAGCTGCTAGAAAGGCAATGCTGCTTTGGCTGTTTCAGAGAGGGGGATGGGGGGGGGGAGGCAATGCTGCTTTGGCTGGTTTTTTGGAGGGTTTTTGTCCTGGGTTTCAACACTGGTGAATGGAAAATTTTCTTATTTCCTGAGAGCTGCTAGAAAGGATGTGGTGAAAGCTAATGAAGTGTCATTGCTACCTTTATACATCTTAGCCATAGGAGCATGGAGTTTGCAGAGAAAAAATGAAACCTCTTGAACACTGAGGACAATTAATCTGTTTATGGTCAGACTTGTCAATTGCTTTTTGGTGCTTCTCTAATGATTGCTGGTTCAGGTCACTGACTGGGATCCTTATCCTCTTCAATTAGTTTTTCTGTGCCAAATCAATGAACTTTTTGAGGGATTTAAGTATTTCTCTTCATTATTTCATCATTGTCCTTTACCCCCCACTTTTAATGGTTTGTCTCTTTATCCTGATTGAGCATTATATTGACAAAGCTCTTCTTCTCAATGTTATTGCCGCCTTTATATGGATAATCTTATAAGCACAAAATTATTCAGGGCTACTGAAAATTTTCATTCCCATGTACTCATGGGCAATATCATTCATTCCTATTGCATGTGACCCTTCTTATCCATTCATAGACATAAAATACCCAGACACAGACATCTAAATTAACATGTTCCAAATTTGTATGTATAGAATGTACTCAATTCATTGTTCAATGTACACTTACCAAGTGTATTTCTGTCCCTAGAATTCTGTTTTAATTGCCAAGCCCTCATCCAAGGTGTGTATTCCCATCATTCTTCACTCTTTCTTTTTATTCTTGCATATATCCTATGCAATCCAGAAGTCCCAACTCTTTCACTGAGTACCATTTCATGAGTTTGGATAAGGTCTATTTGAAGTAACTAGTGTGGCCTTTGGGTTTGACAAGTCATAAAGCTGATGAATGAAGAAGTGCTGGAAGGTGGATTTGATATCAACGGATATACCAAAGAAGCTTTTGCTGTCGTGAAGACTGGTTTAATGATGTCATTCATATCTATGGCTGATGCCTGGTTTTGTTCCAATACCTTATGAACAGAAATTTCACTACAGTCTGAAAGTAGGCAAGCTTGTTTGGGGGTTAGATGTAGCAGATAGAGGAACTGGGGGAGGTAGGAGGCATATGATTTGGTTAACTATGAGATTAATCTGTAAGATTATGAGGTGAAGTCCCTTGAGATTTTGGTGACAGAATCAGAGAGTTTGAACCAGAGAACTAATGATGAGGTCTGCAGGATAAGTAAGGATTTTCTATAAACTTATGTATATGTGTGTGGATCAATAGGAGGTCTGATTTCGGCCATGTTGATTTGGTAATCTATTTTTTAGTCTAAGGTTGTATCATATTTAGTGTAGGAGATGCATTTATTCACAGTAGATGTTTCCTTAATTAACCTGTGATGGTTCCATTGCTGTTTCGCTCTTCATTACTGTATGCCTAGGCTTCCTCAGCATGCTGTTCTTTTATAATGAAATATTACTTAAGCATGAAAGTTAATTGGTGGGTTTGGTCTTTACTAGATTTTCATGAGAACCAATTGCAAGAATCCTGTTGATCTATAATGCTCTTATCAGTTAGGTATGTATCAGATGTTAGTGTCTGAATGTTTGACAGAACAGTGACATGGGTGATAATGGTTTTGTTTATTATACTCCTGTATGCCGAATGAGCCATTTCTTTGTGCTTCAAAACACCAAGTGCAACTATGTAAGAAAATATTGAGGAGTAATGAACATAAAGATATTGAGTCATGTCTGGACATCTGTACAGCCTCCATGTTTGCATGTATTGCTTGTTATATGTTTATAGAAGTGTACACCATTAGATGCACGAGCTCGCATGTGTGTCCAACTATGACATTGAATAATATATTTTCTTGCCAGGTGCTCTTCTTATCCTGTGTTTGGGTAAATAAGAGTTTGACTCTTTAGTGTTTCAGATTGCTCTAGAGTGGCTCCTTGTTAAAATTTCAACAGATACCTTTTGAAGTGGTGACTGTTGATTTCCCTTTTTAGTAGCTTTTGAATTTATTTGAACTGCTATGATAACGCACTAAGTTTGAAAATAGTTTCATTAAGAAATTAGAGACCAATTCCACTTGAATATGGCCCACAACCTCACCTATGTTTAATGAAAATCATCAAAGTCTTTCATAATTTATAAGATGATTGCCTTTGCTTGTTTCCTTATTCACTCTTTTTCTTCACTTAAAATGCAGTAAGTTTAATTGGTGGAATTATTTTAGTTTGGGTTTTCTCTTGTTAAGATCACTTATGTGGCTGCTTGTGTCTGCCCAATATGGTCTCTTATTTATGAACTGTTATGTGTTTAAGAGATGCTTAATTTGTTGTATGATGCATAATTTCTGTATTTGTTCATAATTTGTTATGAAGTTCTGGTGTTTTCGTAGTCATTTGATGAAACACCCATCATTTCCTCTCTTGAGATCTACTGATGATGGAATTATTTTTTCATAGTAATATAAATTATATTGTTGATGAACTTCTAACTTCATGTAAAGAACTACCACATTTTTTTTTTCTTATTGATGACTTGAAATTGAATGAAGAGAGTTTTGTTTATTCCCAGGTGTAAGAAGTACCCGTCTATGGAATTGAGAGGCCTTTTCCAGTATTTGGTGAACCAGTTGAAAAAGGGCCAGGGGATTGAGCTTGTTCTTCTGCAGGTATCATTCAGATCTAGAAGTTTTGAACTTTATTAATTATTAACATAAACTTAAGCATGTGGGGAAAGTACTATAGCTTTCATCACAAAATATTGTGGATTGCTAGTGTCTCCCTTTTTTTTTTTTGCTGCTGCTTGAACAGATGAATTTTTTTCCTTTTCCTATTCTTTTTTTTGTTTTTTTATGATTTTTTTTCTAAATTATTTGTCAAATTTTGTTCTTTTTTTTTTTTATGAGGTTAGCGTGGTTTGTGAGTTTGTCAAGATAACTCAGGTTGTCCTAGCTTATGGGTTTGGTGGTTTTTTTTTTAATTGACTTGGTTTTTTTATAGTCTAATTTTTTTCTCATATACTAAAAAAAAATAGTTTTAGAGAAAAATCATGTTATTAAAATTTATAAAATGACACATATTAACATAAACTAAAGCATGTGGGGAAAGCACCGTAGCTTTCCTCACAAACACTGTGGATTGTTATAGTTTCCTCCTATATTTTTTTTGGCTGCTTGAACACACGGTTTTTTTCCCTTTTCCTTTTCCTTATCCTTTTCGTTTTTCTTTTTGTTATGATTTTTTCAAAATTGTTTTTGTCAAATGTTATTCTTTTTATTTTGTCTAAATATGAGATTAGCATGGTTTATGGGTTTGTCAAGGTGACCCAGGTTGCTCTTGTTTACGAGTTAGGTGGGTTGTCTTTTTTTTTAATTAAACTTGATTTTTTTATAGTCTATTTTTGTCTCATATAGTTAATTTTTTTTTGAGAAAAATCATTTTATTAAACATTTTAAAGTTACATAAATTAAAGGGTGTGAAAAAATTATTGTTCATCAATAGACATTGCATTGTGAATGACAATAGTAATCCATAGTGTTTTGCTTTCTTTCTTTTTTCTTTTTCTTTTTCTTTTTTTTATTTTTGTTATGATTTTTTTTTTAAACTTGTTTTTGTCAATTTTTATCTTTTTTTAAGGTTAGCATGGTTTGCAGGTTTGCCATGGTAACTCGGTTGCCCTGGTTTACGAGTTTGGCGGGGTGTTTTTTTAATTGAATTTGATTTTTTTATTGTCTATTTTTTCTCATATAGTTAAAAAAGAAAAATAGTTTCAGAGAAGTCATGTTATTAAATTTTATAAAGTCCATGGATCTATTCACAAGTTTGGCTGGTTGACTTGATTCGTGGGTCTGCCAAGTTTAACTTTTTTTAACTTGTTTTTTTTTCCCATCCATAGATACTGGGTTAATTGGGAATCCAGTTTCATCCTTTTATGAAGTCATCATAACTTAAAAAAAATCTCGGTATTGAGTTGGTGTTTTATTTCATAATCGTCTATTTTTTTTATTATATAGTTAAATAAAAATATAGTTTTGAAAAAAAAAACAAATAATAATCCCAATAGAGTCCATAACCTTGTTCACAGGTTTGGTGTATTAGCCTGACTTACTTGATTCACAGGCTTAACAAGTTTACCCACCAATAGGTTATGTTTTTTTATATTTTGTTTTTGGTTTTTTAACTATTTTTAATTTCATTATTTAATATTAGATTGGTTAAGAAATAGCCTGCATTATGGATTTTGTTTGCTTTCTATAGGGAGAATTGTTTCAAAGAAGTGTCTATTTTTATCATATAATTAAATAAAAAAGGTTTATACAAAAATGTTATTAAACCCAATAAAATCCATGACTCGGGTCGTATGGGGACCGAGGTCGATCCAATCTGTCGTTGGCTTAATATTTTTTTTAAAATATCATCTTAAAGTTTTTTTAAGTTAAGTCATGTTTTTATTGATCATCAAGGTTTCATTTGGACCTATAAAATCAATTGATTTAAGTTGAGCTTGCTGCCATATGATTTAATTAAAAATTTGAGTTAAGTAAAGAACAAAGTTAGGAGGTTTGAAAATTAACCCACTTAGTCAAGTTTAATAACACATTTAAAAAAATTTCTGTGCTTTTAATATTTTTTTTACATTAAAAAAAGAAATGGGTCCGACCTGCGGTGGAGTGAAGGTCAATATAGTAGCAACTTCTATCTAGACAATCGAGTTGTCTGTTAACAGTGGAGCTTGTGATTTTGTCAGGAGCTTGTTCAACAAATGGCAAACGTTCAATACACAGAAAACTTAACAGAGGAACAGTTGGATGCCATGGCTGGGAGTGAGACACTTCGGTATCAAGCTACTTCTTTTGGAGTAACAAGGAATAACAAGGTCTCAATGCTCCCTTCCAAGCAATTTTAGCCAGTTATGTTTCAAGTAGTTGATAATTTCAATGGAGGCACATATCTGAGTATATTAATGGTTTTTTTTCTTCCTGGGGGGTGGGGGTGGGGATCATGAATCATGTGTTTTTTGTTTTCAATTAGATTTATATTAATGAAGGGTACATCTACTTTGTCTTATATCATCTGGAAATATTTAAATTTTAGTCAAGCAGAAGTGTAGTTGATTCTTGTAATCAGTGCCTCTAGTTTGAGATTGATGTAATCTTCATCTATATCTGGGAACATTTATGTTTTTGACAAACAAAAGTGAATGATGTTGATCGTTTCCTGTGACCTGGTGATTTGATTAACCCAGTTGCGGCAAGCCCAGCCCAACATGTGAAACTTACTATTTTAAGGTTTACCATATAGTTTTTGGAAATACAAGATCTTTTTGGAAATGATGTAGGATTTTTTTATCTTTTTCCTGCAGACTCTATTTGTTGTTGCTCAAAATACAGATTCTTCTGTCACCTAAATTTGCTCAAAGAGCAACTATATGCTATCAGATTAAGCTAGGTATCCTAGGGTTCCCTCATGGGCCTGTGCTCCCTCTTTATATTCCTGTTGATAGTGTACCATGCTTATGATTTGGTTTACATTTCCTACAATTGCTGAACTTGAGCATTTATCTGCAAGCTACTTGAACATGATATTGTTATTACAAAGGATGGAAGTCTTGACTGTGATCTGAGATTTTGCTTTTACACCTCAGCCATTCCCTGAGTTAATTTCAAGATGTCATGCTGACTAACAAGTCAGGTTCTAATTTATTCCCTCTGCAGGCGTTGTTCAAATCTACTAACAGGCTACGAGACTCCTTGCTTCCTAAGGATGAACCAAAGCTAGCAATACCCCTTTTGTTACTTATTGCTCAACATCGATCTGTGTAAGGAGTAGAACTTTATTTGATAATTGCTTAATTTAATAGATATTCTTCCCAATAATATTTTCTGAAAAGGAAGCATGGAAGTATCTATAAGTTGCTATGGATGTTTTGGTTTTTTGATTTTGCCTACATTGACATTTACCCTTTTGCTTTCTTTGATCTATTAAAAAAAAAAAAATTTTTGCCTTTCTTTTCAGCATGGATGATTTTGAATTTAGCCTCTTTATATGAAAATCTGTTTCCATCAAGTGCAACATGTCTCTAAATATTCTTGCGTGCATGTCTGAGATGGTTGTATATCTCTGATTGTTTCTGTGTATAGTCATCAATGTTTATACAATTTGGTGCTTTTTCTAATTTAATTCTCTCTTTGACTGTTTTAATTCTTGAGTAATTTTGCTATTTATATTTGTAGTCCTGTTTGGGTGTCTGTCTTAGCTTTTGACATGTTCTTTGTGAGGTTGTCCTCACAGCTATGCTGTTGTTTTCTGATTTGAGAACTATTGTAAAGGCATGTTTAATAACAGTCATGTTTCCCCCATGAAATAGACTATGTCATTGACATTGTAAAGGAGCCACACAACAGTTTTGGATTTGAGTCCAGGATCTTTAATTTGAAATTTCGTTTCCTGTTTTCCACTTGTTTTTCAATGTCCTATATACTAAACTCCTTGACTTGATGCCAGGATCCTTGAAATTTCTGATTACTGTTTTTTTTTTTCCTTCCACCCTAAGGTCACAAACAATCCTTATCTATTCTGTGCTTCCAATATTTTTATGCTGATAGATTGGTCAAATACCTCAGTAGATGTACCTACCTGGTGCTGGTTGGACTGCTGACTTCATAATTTTTTCCTCCAGGGTTGTCATAAATGCAGATGCTCCTTACATTAAAATGGTCAGTGAGCAGTTTGATAGGTGTCATGGAACTCTTCTTCAATACGTGGAATTCCTCTGTGGTGCTGTGACACCACCCTCTGCATATGCTCAGTTGATTCCCTCTCTTGATGATCTTGTCCACCTGTATCATCTTGATCCTGAGGTCTGTCCTCCCCCTTCTGTGTGTTTGTGTGTGTTGCTTGAGCTCCTAAATTCTCTATTTTGTTGATCAATTTCTCCTACTATGTCTGCTTTATCATTTCTAAATTACCTTGAAAGAGTTGTTTGCTGTGCATTTTTAATTTAGTTTTTATGAAACCTCATGCTTGAACATAACTTTAAATCTGTCATTTTTCTCTGCATTTTAGGTTGCATTTTTAATATACCGCCCAGTCATGAGACTCTTCAAGTGTGAGGGTAGTTTAGAGGTTTTCTGGCCGTTAGACAGCAATGAAACAGTAACTACTACAAGTGCAAACCTGGAGCCTGAAGCTAGAGAATATTCTGGCAGAGTGATTCTGGATCTTGGCTCTCTCCATAAGACTGTAATGTAATAATCTTGTCTTTTAATTTTTTTTTGCCTTGGTAGATTTCTTGGCATGTGATTCTTGTTCTTATTTGATAATGAGCGATTTTACAAAGAAAGTTGCTTTTATTGTAAAGAAGTGATCATTTATCAATCTTATGCAGGTGGTCAGATCTTCTTGAGACTGTGAAAACCATGTTGCCTTCAAAAGCCTGGAATAGTCTGTCACCTGATCTCTATGCCACTTTCTGGGGACTCACACTTTATGATCTATATGTCCCTAGAAACCGTTACGAGTCTGAAATTGCCAAGCAGCAAGCTGCTCTTAAAGCTCTGGAAGAGCTTTCTGATAATTCTAGTTCAGCAATTACTAAAAGGAAGAAAGAGAAGGAAAGGATTCAAGAATCTCTCGATCGTCTGACTAGTGAGCTCCATAAACATGAAGAAAATGTTTCTTCTGTTCGTAGACGACTATCTCGTGAAAAGGACAACTGGCTGACTTCTTGTCCTGATACTTTGAAAATCAACATGGAGTTCCTTCAGCGCTGTATTTTTCCCCGTTGTACTTTCAGCATGCCAGATGCTGTTTATTGTGCCATGTTTGTACATACTCTTCATTCACTTGGCACACCATTTTTCAACACTGTAAACCACATCGATGTTCTGATATGTAAAACACTACAACCTATGATATGCTGCTGTACTGAATATGAAGCAGGTAGACTTGGGAGGTTTTTGTATGAAACACTCAAGATCGCTTACTACTGGAAGGTATTGACATTTTCGTTGTCACTTTTTGTTATTCAGGTTTATTTTTCCTTTCATTATTTTGAGTTTTTTTTTTTTTCATGAAGTTATAAAAAAAAGAGATTTTTTCACTGAAGTAAATCATATATGTGCTTACACAAGTGTGTTTGTTTGAATTTAGCACTTGTATTTAATTGAATTAAGCATTTATTTGTCTTTCCTTTTCCTGGCCCTCCTAACCTAATGCTCTCCTTTTTTCTATTGCAATTCTTTGTGGCCAGAGTGATGAAACTATATATGAACGTGAGTGTGGAAATATGCCTGGATTTGCAGTGTATTATAGATTCCCAAATAGCCAACGGGTTACATATGGTCAGTTCATTAAGGTTAGTTCTTGTGATTGAAGTTGTATATTTTTTTCTAAGTAGTTGTCATTTTCATAAATTGAAATCTCTTTCTGAATAGTTTCTTCATGTTCATGATGAGTTTGCATAAGGTGTTGGTTCTGTCTGTTTCTATTTTTATTTTATCCATCTATTGTTCTACATTCAATTCTATTCATCTACATAATGTGTCTTTCCAATTGGAGAAGAAATGATAGCTGTTACTCCTCAGCCTTTTATGTGCTTCTTATACTGTGCATATTGGTCCTACTTTTCTTTATAGCTGGACGTGTTAAATTGGGGACTTATGTTTATACAAGGATCCCCATATTGAAACTAGTTATGCTTGGGAAATCCTGAAGTCATCTTTGAGTATTCACTAGTGCTAACCTGTGGTATTAGTTAAAAATCTAAAAGGTTTTAAGTGCATAAGGTCTTGTAAACGTTATTGATTCTTGTTGCAAATCCAAAGCAGAATGAGTTCAAGCTATAAGTAGTCTCCTGGAAAGCTCACCGTAGAAATTATATTATCTCCATTGATATATTACATTGAAGATCATTCTCTTTTATTTACCTGACCCTGTGCTGCATCTTACTTTTTTATTTTGCTGGCTTTGTCTTACGTTCATGCATTTCTTGTTTATTCTTTTCTTTTATTTTCATTTTCCTTTGTCCGAGTTCAAGTGTTTTAGTCAGTGTATTCATAATTTTTTTAAGGCACAGAAATTTGAGATTTATGTAATCACCTGTTGAAACCTGATAATATGTGTTTTCTTTTATACCTTAATTGAGATTTTGTCAGCGCCAATTGTTTACTCATTTTATCTGCTCTTTTGGTGATAGGTACACTGGAAATGGAGTCAGAGAATGTCTCGGCTATTGATTCAGTGTCTGGAATCATCTGAGTACATGGAAATTCGAAATGCTCTTATTTTGTTGACAAAAATTTCCGGTGTTTTTCCAGTAACTAAAAGGAGTGGTATTAACCTTGAAAAACGAGTAAGAGATGTCAAGAAAGGTGACCTTTATTTATCTCAAGTTACTTCTTTCAGTACCATAACTTTAGTTTTCTTTCCCTCAAATTCTGTACAGGTAACTAGAATCAAAAGTGATGAAAGGGAGGATCTCAAGGTTTTGGCTACAGGTGTTGCTGCAGCTTTGGCTGCTAGAAAGGTTGGTGAGATTCACAAGTGAATTTAGCTGCTCTTGTTATATGTATTTTAAAAAATTATTGTCATTTGCAGCCTTCATGGGTTACAGATGAAGAATTTGGCATGGGTTATCTTGACATAAAGCCTCCATCTGCTGCATCAAAGTCTTTATCTGGAAATGTAGCAGCAGCACAAAATAGTTCTGCCCTTAATGTTTCTCAAGGCGAACCTGCTGATGGAAGAGCACTTGTAACTGGAAGCCAACATGGAGATCCTGGGAATTCAAACAGAGATCTGATATCCAGAGCAAAACATGCTGATGGGAGGTCAGATAGAACAGAAAATATCTCACATTTGAAATCTGATCTAGGACATCAGAAATCAAAAGGTGGTTCATCAACCAATGGGTCAAATGCTCAGTCAGCTGTTTCCTCAGCTGTTGTTCCTATAGGTGCATCAAGATCAGCAGAAAATCAAAAGGGGATGGATGACTCCACAAATAGAACATTGGAGGATAGCACTGTCAGAGTTGCTGCAAAGAACTTGGTGGAGTCTGAGGTATTGTCTAGATGGTGCATGTGGACAGTTTTATCTAATGTCAATGCAGGCAATTTTAAACATTCATTATTTCTCATCTACTTATTAAATAGTGGTAGATGGAATCGTTCCTTTTAATTATTGTATTGAGGGAAAGAAAAAAGAAACGATACTTTTTTCTGTTTTGTTGGTTGAAACAGACATGAGGTAGTGATTCTGAAATTTGGGATTCGTAAGATATGTATTATTTCTTAACATCCTTGAAAGGATTTAGTGTAGTCTACCTTTGGTTGATTTGTTTTCCTCTTTATTGGCAGTTGAAAGTTTCCACAAAGCGGCCAGTGTCTAAAACACCAAAACAAGATGTTGTGAAAGATGACAATAAATCTGGAAAAGGTGTTGGCCGAACTCTATCCTCATCCACAAGTGACAAAGAAATCCAGGTTCATTTATCAGAGGGAAGACAAGGGGGTGCTTCTAATGTTTCTTCTGCGCTCACATCGAATGGTAATGCTCTTTCAGTGTCTGAAAAAGTCTCTACTATGTTTACAAGAACTTCTGATTCTTATGGTGTAGAATCAAAGCCAGATAGTGGAGGTAACAAACCTATGCTAAAAGATGAAGCAACTGAAGTTGCTGATGTGCAGAAGCCACCTTCTCGACTTGTTCATTCTCCTAGGCATGATAACTCTGTTGCTGCTGCAAAGTCTAGTGATAAATTGCAAAAGAGAGCAAGTCCAACTGAAGAACCTGACAGATTAAGTAAACGGCAAAAAGGGGATGTCGAATTGAGAGATTTAGAGGGTGAAATTAAATTCTCTGAAAGAGAGAGGTCCACTGATACTCGATCTGCGGATCTTGATAAAGTGGGAAATGATGAACAGAATCTATATAGGAGCGTAGATAAACCGTTGGATAGGTCAAAAGATAAAGGTAATGATAGATATGACAGGGACCATAGGGAAAGATCAGAGCGTCCTGATAAATCCCGTGGAGATGATAGTTTAGTTGACAGATCAAGAGATAAATCAATGGAAAGATACGGAAGAGAGCTTTCGGTTGAGAGAGGGCAGGATAGGGTCGCTGATAGGAGTTTTGAAAGACTAGCTGACAAAGCCAAAGATGACAGAAGCAAATTACGGTACAATGATACCTCTGCAGAAAAATCTCAGGTTGATGATCGTTTTCATGGGCAAAACTTGCCTCCGCCACCACCTTTACCTCCTCATATGGTTCCCCAATCAGTTACTTCTGGTAGAAGAGATGAAGATGCTGACAGAAGGTTTGGAACTACCAGACATGTTCAGAGGCTTTCTCCTAGGCATGATGAGAAAGAACGAAGACGATCAGAAGAAAATTCCTTGGTTTCACAGGATGATGGAAAACGAAGAAAAGAGGATGATGTTCGTGAGAGAAAGCGAGAAGAGCGAGAGGGGCTGTCAAACAAGGTATGCATTAGCTGCTTGCTTGTTGAATCCATTATGATTTTTAATGAACTTGTCATTCTAAACTTAATGAGGGACTGGTAACACACACACACATGTATGTAGCATGTATGCCAGATTGCACTGAACATGAAACTGTTGAATCGAGTTTATCATATCTAGGCATTGTAACTTCATTTAACAGAGGACAAGAAATACTTGTATATCTGACATTTGTGCTTTTGTTTTCATAAGTTCTTAGTGTTGCTTGCTCCCTTCAGCTTAACTTGAATTATAATAAATGCAGTGATTAACATCCTTTGTGATGGTAGCTTCATTTTATTTGCCACCCACATAATTTATTTGCTGCAGTCAGATGCTATTGATCCTCCCATGTTTTGGCATACTGAGTAATGGACTATGCTTGAGGTTATATGGACGCAAGCATGAATGTGTAAAAGTGAACTGTTTTACACGTCACAATTTCACTTGAACTTCATGCTTAAACAAGCAAGCGTTTCGCCCCAGGAATTTATACAATCCTACTTCTGCTTCATTCATGACACCATGAATTTGTGGGTCGGAGTGTGAAATGATTGACATTGTAAGTAGTGAACTGCAACTGTCAATTTTGATGTAATACCATATAAAAATGAAATAATTTAAAAAAAAAGAGGCTCGATATATATATAAAAAAGAGATGATGGCCCATTTTATTTTTTAAGAACTGGATGCTGTTATTCCCATATTGGTCTCTGTGTTTCAAAGAGTTTTTTTGCTTATATCTCTGAGTTGCTATTTGTAGGTGGAAGAGAGGGAAAGAGAGAGGGAGAGGGAGAGAGAGAGAGAGAAAACCAACCTTCCGAAGGAGGAAATGGACTCCAGTGCAACTGCTAAGAGACGAAAACTTAAAAGAGATCATCTGCCGACGGGGGAAGCTGGTGAATATTCTCCTGTTGCCCCACCACCTCCACCCCTTGGTATTGGCATGTCACATTCATATGATGGTAGGGAGAGGGGAGATCGGAAGGGGGCCATGAATCAGCGTGCAAGTTACTTGGAGGAACCTCTCATGAGGATTCATGGTAAAGATGTAGTTGTCAAGATGGGCCGCCGTGACACTGATCCGTATCCTTAAAATCCTTTCTTTAGTAATAAATAATTTGTGGGCCAATATGCATGCCATCATTGTGTATATTCAATTAAATGATCTACAACTCAGTTAAATTGTCCACATCCCTGTTCTATCTGCTGCAAATTGTTATATGTGAAAGGGGTAATTTTCAGCAATATGCTGTACCTAGCATTTCGCTTTCTCCCAAAATATGTAGGTTCTGTTATACTGGCTTGTGGACATGTAGTTCATTAGTGTTTCTGTGATGCTAACTCGTGATGCATATACAAGGCATGCTTTACTATTTCTCTGAAGATCTTTGTTGTATATTGCAAGTCCTTGATCAGAATTTAGTATGTATGATCGGGAATGGGATGAGGACAAGAGGCAGAGAGCTGAACAAAAGCGGAGGCATCGCAAGTAATTGATGGGTCATAGCTTGAGATGTGTTATCTGATGGATTCCTAAAAGGGGTGTGCTTGATTGTGTGAGTTCCTATTCTTATTCTTTCATTTCTTTCATCCATTTAATTCTACCAGATTATAAATTACAGTGCTAGATTTTTGCTTGTTCAACAACAGGTCCTGGAAATGGCAAGTTGGATTTATGCCATTTTTGTATGCTATTGTAGAATCTGAGCTATGTAGTACAGTGCGATTGACTAATTCTCTCCTAAATTAAGTGTAAAGATAAATTTTGAGATATATCTTGCCTCCTATGCTATGCCTGTTAATGTTTAGCTGATGAATCCAATATGCTGAAGTATAACAAGGGGGCTGCTGTTGTAATTGGTAAAAAATAAACAGTAAGGTAAGAACTCTATATTTCATGAATACCGAGGGACACGAATGGACTCTGTTCATTTCGTGCTATGTAGCTTTGCTTGGTAAAACGGTTCCTTTTTTCAATTACGAGATGCAACGGTAATCACAATTGCCTCTATTCCTCATTTCCTTGTGCCACCAATTTGAGCTTATTGTTTGTTCTGACATGCGTCTTTAGTAATGCCCTTTGGGTCTTCTATCTTTTTTCTTAAATATAAAGGGATGAGGCTGCATCCCGAAGATTAAAGATTGACCCATCTTTTATAAAAAAATGTTTTCACATCCCATACGATGACTGCTGATTAACAATGTATAAGAGACTAAAATTAGCCGCTCTAAATGAGCTTGATTCATCATATCACAAGGATGATAATTTAATCTGAAACGCTAGGCTTGACTCTTTTCATGGATAAATGAAATTTTTTTAAATACAATATATATGTGGACACAAATTTTTAAATGAATCATGTATAATAGTTAGATAATGGATATTTAAATTTTTAATTTTTAATGGGTAGTGTATGAATACTTCAAAATATACCATAGAATATTTAGATTTTTTTTAATATATTATGATTTATATATATCTTAGTATTGACATAAAACACGTGCACTCACGTATATATAATAGTAGATAAAATACACTCAAACATAATGAATAATTTATGAATATTTAAAATTTTTATGTATGAATATAAAAATATTCAACTAACAGGTATCCATTGTGATCTTTAATTTTACTAATTAAGTAGTTTAAAGTGTATTTTGTTTAGAAGAATTAAAAAAGGATGGATGAGAAGTAAAGGATTGGATGTTTATTTTATTCCCAAAGGATTAAAATCCTCACATATCACTTGATTGTTTTCAATCCTTTCAATTTTGGGCTAATTGGCTTCCATCCCTTCCCTCCATGGTTAGCTAAACAACTAGATGGATAGTCACTAATCCTTCTTTTCTCCACCCCATCTTTTCACTCCCCCCTACTAATACAATCCAAATGTTCAATTGAAAGTTTGTGGAAGCCCTATTGGCTTTAGATTTATTTAGATACCAGTAAAAGAGTGAGCTAGTTTTAATTAACTTTGATTTTGAGTTTCTGAATCAAGCTCAATCTTAAACCAAAACATTTAATTTTTTAGAAGAAGTTTATATATATAAGGTTATAAGATGATATTTTTATTGTGCATTACCTTACAAAATACTATTCATTGCAATAATGTTTTTTTTTCTTTGTTGTTTTTAATTCTTTTTTTTTTTAATTTTTTATTTCTACATTTGGTTTTTTGTATATTAAAATTATGATTTGTTATGATTTGCTTTTTATTTGATTACCATAATCTCATAATCTGTATCACGGGTTTCGCAGGTTCACTCAAGTTACTCATTCTTTTTCTTTTTTTTTTCAATTCTATCTTTCGACATTGACTTGATTAGGAATTGGACTTTATAACTTGTTTCAGTTTGCTTTTTGTAAAGTTATTGCGATCTTATAACTCAAGTCACGAGTTTTGCGGGTTAACTTATATTGATTGTTTTATTGTGTTCTTTTCTTAAATTGAATATTTTCTCACTTTTAACCTTTAACAATGAGTTGATTAATAATTTATTTATTTTTTTCCTTGTGAGATTATCTCAATCTCCTCATATAATTCGCGAGTTTGGAAAATTAATTGTGTTTTTCAAGTTTTATTTTTATAAGGTTATTCTGATCTTATGATTCAGGTTATAAGTTTGGCGGTTTAACCTAAGTTAACTTAGATTATTTTTTTAATTTTTTTTTTCAAATTCATTCTTTAATATTGGGTTGACTAGGAATTGAACTTCATAATTTATTTTAATTTTTTTATATAGAATTATCATGTTCTCATAATTAGAGTTTCGAATTTGACAAATTAATCGAAGTCAATTTAATATGTTATTGTTTTAATATTAAAAAAATATTATCTATATTTTTTTTGGGATATAAACTATGTGTTTACTGGTTATCCTGGTTGCCTTTAAACCCATCAAGGCAGTCAGGTCACATTGATTCAACTCTCATATAGTTTAATTTTTTTCTACTAGAGAAAAGTGTTAGCAATATTTAGATTATTTTTTTATATTAAGAAAAACTTAATCTGACCATAACATAATGTAGCCCAATGATCTTGTGTGTGTGTGTGTGTGTGTATATGATTCCAATCCAAATTATACAATACAAATATAATGTCAAACATTTAAATATAATTTATTTTAAGACATTCTTAAATAGTTAAGAGTCAAGACTAAAAAAACTTTAACTTAAAGTAGTTCAACACAAATAAAATGCCAAAATATTAAGAAAATAGAAGGTTTTAATAAAAAAAAGCATAAATCAAACATAATCTTCATCATTAACATAAAAATAAGGATCTTAATCTTATAGGGCAAGTGATCAACTAGACATTTTAATAAATGATCATTTCCAGTAAGTTTACCCTCACCATCAAAATAAATCTCTTCATCCTTTAAAGTCAAAATAGATAAAGGTGTCTCAACAATCTTTTAAATTTAAATTTCTTTTAATCAATGAGGTTAGGTTTTTCACAAATCTACTTATTTAATTATTCAATGCTATCAAGGCTAGTGAAATTTAAAGTATCCATTGTTTTGCTCCAATTCTTATAAAAAACAAACATGAAAGAAAACAACATGAATATAAATTATATATATTAGTAATAAAATTATTTTTTTAAAATAATACCAATGTTAATGATATTAAATATTATTATAAAAAACATAGATCAAATACACTCCAATTTCTCTCATACCCAGTTATATAATATATTGATGTGTGGGAGTATGATTTTGTTCAAGTTTGTAACAAACTAAAGATTGCTTATTTTATTCCTCTTATATACAAGCATGGAGACATCTCCATCCCGCAACCTCTTCTGCTTTCTTTTATATTATATACTGTAAGAGAAATCTCAACCTTTTCCATTCCTTGTTTTAAACATCTTACACCATGTTGAATTTTTATAGTTCATTTCATCATTAACATTATTGTCATTTGCACAAAGCTGCTCAAACTCACTTTTTTAGTATGTTATTATGTTTTTGAGGTGACTTGTCATTTATACAAGTTTGAATTTTATCAAATCTAGACTTTATCAAGTTTGGTTTGTTCATTCTGTTCAAACTTTCCAACTCTTTAGTCAATTTTAGTGTATAACATAAACAAATAAACTCAAAATATCTTGGCTTGAATTTGGGTGAGAAATAAAAAATGACACAAGATCTCGAGTGAAATGAGATTTATCTCACTTTGTTTTGCTTTGTGAAATGGTACGAGATATGCTAGCCATTTTGACAAGAACAAAATAAAATTGACAACTTTAATGCACAGACACGTATGTTACCAACATAATTATAGACAAAAACAGTCCATCAGAAAAACTCATGTCATTAATTTATGGACTGTTGATGAGTTTGTCAGTCATAAATATACTAATGGATTTACAAACGAGCAAAAAAAATAAAAAAAAATATATTTGCTTTATTCTATTAGTATATCCATCAATAAATATAACATATCACTGATATAATACTGATTAGTATTTAAAAGTATATTTTTATCAAGATTTTATATTAGTATTTTGCACTTGAAGTATCAATAACTCCTTAACTAAAGCATGTTTTATAATAACAAGTATGATACTATAAAATACCTTTAATTTATGGTAAATATTCATCTCAAATATAGGCCTATCACATAAATTAAATGAATAAGTGATGAGTTCAACTACTTAAATTAAGAAGACAAAGAAATGGTGAAGCTTAGAAACGAGATGTTGGTTTAATTCAAACTGAAACACTGTTCAATCATTGGGTCATATCTGAAACTGTAGATCTTGAGTTTCAAATTGGTTTATAAGGCTAGAAAGCTAAGACATATGCCTAAAATATTCATAGAAATGCAAGACTCAATTTTACTGTTTGGAAGTCCAAATCTTAGCAACAATAAAGACGTTTGAATCTGTCCTACAACCTAGACATTGTTCAATGTTCAACCCATATCTTGAGTTCTAGAAGTTCAAATGACCTTAATTTTTTTGATGGAAACCTGAAACAATTTTCTACAACTTTCATGAATCAAGTCTATTCAAATTATAATGTTAGCAATGATGTTTTGTTCAGACAAGAAGATAAAGATTATCATCAAGTCAAGATGTGGCTACTCACTCAACAATTAGTCAATCTTTGAGGGTAAGGAAGAGGTTGAATCTGAAAATTGCAAAGAAAAGTGACACGACCAAAAGATTTATATCTTCTCCTAAGTGTAGGAGTGTCGAAGTAATAAATAACCCGGCAAAATATGTAGATCTCAGATTTAGGTTTATTTTAT